GAAAGTTAAATTACATATGTTAAGTTCTGATATATGGAAATATATGTCAGTGCTTAAGGTTAAAGCAACTTACACAGACAGCAATGATCAATTATAAGAGTGTCTAGAAATTTTATTCTGATATATTTTATAACAATTTAAAAATAAGTACAGATTTTATTTATATTAACACATGCTCTTAGTTTAATAATGGTTCTAGTTTTACATAATGGCTCATAAAAGAATTATAAACTTCTTAAAAAATAAAATCTATATATAGTATAGCTTTCATTGAATTGAAGAGATGAATATTTAACTAGGCATGTAAAATCTCTGGAAACAACAAAATAATGAAGAAATTATAATCCCAATTTCCTGTGCTCTGGGATTAATCTAATGTTCTTCTATGCTCAGATCCCACCATCTTCTAGAAGTTGAATAAGAAAGGCATTGGAGACACATCAGATAAATTACATATTATACATTATGAACAGGTTCTAATGGAAGCCTGGTCAAATCCCTTTGCTTTTCTGGGTTTTGTTAATTTACCCATGGGCTTGCGATAGCTACAGTATCCACAAAACTACAAGAAACTGGATTTTAACAATAGATTCTAAGGATGCTAGTGTGCTCTTGAGTAAACAGGTAAAGCTTTTATCTATAGCAAAGGGAATTACTCATACCTGAAAGCTTTTTTTTTACTGGGAGATAATTTCCAACATAGACATCTACAGCTTCAAATATATCCAATTGCAATGAACAGTGAAATGAAGAGAACTTTAACATTTACAATCTGTCTTTAATACTCTAGAAGTTTATATTATATATAACTGCAGAATACTAATAAATTTCCCCAAGTTTTTTGCTGAGTAGTGTGTCAAACTTCAAGAGTTAATCAAGAGTTATCAATACAAACTAATATTTCATGCAAAATATCACTGACAAATTACTTTTTCTTGTATGAAACTAATTTCCTTAAAAAAATAGGTATCGTGTACTAAAAACAGTACTGTGCCAAGTATTTCTTGCATACACGTTTCTAATACAAACTAGCTATAAGCTAGACAAAATACTCAACCACATAACAACAAGGTGGATTATATTCTTTCATTAACTGCCCTATGAAGTTAACTGCCCTATCTTTAAAGGAAAATATTTTTTGGCTGCAATTTTTATTTTATTGACAACTACTCACTGATTTATTTCTAATGTTCAGATGTCCCCATTTAGCAAGCACTGAAGGCTGCAGAGACCAGAAAGATTTTGTATTTGAGAAAGCAGAATCCTCTACTTCGTATTCTAGGAAGACAAATTAATGCATATACTATAGAACTGTGCTATTCAATACAGGCCACTGGCCTCATGTGCATAATAAGCACTTAAAATGTGGTTAGTCTAAATTAGTAAAATACATACCAGATTTCCAAGAATTTGTACAAAAGAAGAATAGTAGCCATCTTAATGATTTTTTTAGTATTGATTACATGTTGAAATGATAATATTTTGGATCTATTCAGTTAAATGAACTGTGCTATTAAAATTGAGTCCAGCTATTTTTAATTTTTGAATGTGGCTGCTATAAAATTCAAAATGACATATATGGCTTACATTATTTTTCTATTCTACAGCACTGCTATCGAAACAGCAGACTCAATTATATATTAATATTAATCCCAACCCACATCGTTAAATTTTTCTATCATATGGTACTTGAGATCATATTTTAATAGATTAACCAAGGTTCCTGAGCTTAGATTAAAAGATACCTCCTACTCTTAAAAACAAAACCAAATAAAACCTACTCTAATCTTTTTCGTCACCCTTTTAATATTGGCAATTGTGCTAAACTTTGGTTAGGTATGAGTCCGCAAAAAGGCAAAAGAGATCTTTCTGGGAGATGGAAATGTTCTAAAACTGGATTGTGGTGATGGTTACACAACTATAAATGTTCAAATATAATTTTTCCATCCACCATATGACTCAATATTGCAATGAAAATTTTTCCATGAGTATTCTGTTACCTGCAGAGGGTCCACATTTAACAGTGGATCATGTAATCACTACCTGGATGTGTAGGTTGAAAAGGGCAAAGGGAACATTACAGTAGCTGGGAGTGGAAGTTTATCTGCCTTTAAGGGCACCCAGATCAGGGGAAAATAGCCCTTATGTACAATCTTGTCACAAATCCCTTGATGCAATCTGGGCACCTTATAATTGAACATCTGCTGGTATTTCCCGATCCTAGACAGCATACTGGAATATAAGAAACTTCCTACTCTACACTAATAAAATCAAATAAAAAAATACACGAAGTCAAAATTAACGATTAACAATTTATGGGAAACTGAAAGCTCAACTGCGGAGTTTTCTTTTCCTATTGCAAGAAAAAAAAAAGTGGCAGAGCAATCCAACAACTCAAAAGTTAAGTCAATTTAGAAAAGAATACTGGTGATTAATAAATTTAAGTTAAGAATATAGAGTCATTTATGAGTTGTTCTGTCAGATCTTGAAACAAATTATTTTCAATCTAAAAACAGGTTATTCACCATGGATACTGGGGTGCAGCCACCTTTTGTTTTTTTGAACACCATCATCTCTAATAGCAAAAAATGAAAAATAAAACCAAGAACCAGCTCTACTTTTTCTCTTTTATCAAAACGGATCTGAAGAACGATGACTTATACTTTCTTTCCACTCAGTAAAACATTGTAAAGTAAAACACAGATTCAACTTTCATGCACTTGAACCACTATATGCTCTTGTGCTTTTTGTGGCCTTTGCAGCATGTATTTCCAGAGCTCATGTTGCTGCATATTAACAAAACAAAACAAAAAAAGAAATGAAACAATGGAAACAGAAATAACAAAGATAACTCACACTGGACAATGAAATAGATTTCAAGATGTGTGGATGTACACAAACATAACTACACATAAATACATACAAAAATGTGCATGGACATATTGTGTTGCCTCAAGCTTTCATTTCAGAAGTTAACTAGGTGGATAGTTGAAAAGGCAAAAAGTTATTTGGAATGTTAAAATCATTTAGGAATGTTCATTTAAGGCAGCTATAGAATCAAGGATGGACCTATTATAGTCCATTCTACTTATAAAATGACTCATCTAGGCATTTGGATAAATCTATGAACGCATTTGTTATAGTTGCAGACTGAAGTTACATCACAATTGTTAATGTTTATGAATCAGTTAGTAGTATTTTATGAGTTGAGTGATACTTTTAAAACTGAAACATGTACAGAACATTTACTGAATTTCCCCTTCTAGGAGATGGTTCTCTGTTGTTGAATACAGGACACCACTAGCCACTTCACACAACCCAATGTGGAATCCCCAGCACATATTTGGCAATTTTTTTGTACTGTCTTATTCATGCATAAATGTTTTAAGACTCCCAAAGTAAACACACATAAAGATACAAGTATATTTTTAAAGATATCTACAAACCAATGCTATCTAGGTATCAAAATTGAAATGCATTTGAATTATACCTATAGTTACTATGATATCTATTCTTTTCTTATTTCTGATCTTTTTAATACTTAAAAGTAGTGCAAGTCAATTGACAATGAAGTTCATCTTTATAAAATATAGAAAAGAGCTTTTTGCTTTAAGTCCAAGATATTGACAAATTCACAGAGCACACCAAAAGTAAAGGACTAATATTTTACCTCCAAAAAATTAAAACTTTTACAAAATGTTCATAAAGCTCTAAAATAAATGATTTTAACCTAACAGCATGAAGCTTGTGCTTTCTTTAATTTCCAAGCAGCCAAAAAATTCATACTGAGGCACTATTCAATTTCTTAAGAGTTTGCATCAAAGAACTGTTATCTACATGTTGGTAGATTTCTGTCATGCTCTCCATTCCTAGACACACTGCCATACCAAACAATGTGTACATAACTGCTTAAAAAACTGAAACGCCCTCTCTTAGATAGCTATTTACTTTAGAAATAAAATAAACCAAAAACATCTCGAATTTTTCTGTAGACTATGCAGAAGAGAGGAAAGGGTGACTTTTACAGACCATGCAGCTGAGAGACGAGTTATTTAGGATCACAGTACTACAAGTTGAAATGTCATTTATGCCTTTTGTAAGGCTTTTCGTAAGTCCCCATAGAAGTTGATTAAAGTGCTTGCCATGGCTGTATCTACAGCAGACTGAGGAATCATTCCACGCAGATCCGTCTGAATATAGCCTGTCAAAAGACTTTGTTTTGCATTGTCTTTAAGGGGAACACAAAACCAACCACAGGGATGGTTATATCCGCGAACAAATTCAGGTTTCTTTTCACTCCAGTCAAGACTTACCCCTGCAAGGCAATTTAAAAATAACACTATTAATTGTAATGACTGACATTAGTCTAAATCTATCATTAAAAAGATTATCAGGTTTCTTCTTTAGATATTTTTCTTCTTATCCCTATAGATGAAAATTAAGCTCCAAGAGGGACCACGGAAGAATGAAAAACAAACAAAAAATTGCTAAGCAGAATTTTGACAGGGGGCTAATGGATAGATAATGGGGGAAGTTATAATCTCTTCAGAGTAGATGATACCATGTCATCTTGGTAACTCCTTGGAAACTAAGAGTCTTGGCTGTAGCATCCAGACCTCAAGGTGCCAATAAACCATGCTCCCTACAGGCACCCCATAGCCAACTTTGGTACTGGCTGGTTAAGAATAAACAAGTAGATGCTTAACTACAACTGTCAACTCAAATATATATATATATATATATATATATATATATATATATATATATGTGTGTGTGTGTGTATATATATATATATATACATTAAAAATATTAACTTACCTATAGATATATCTTAGAAAGCAAGAGACTTCTATTAGCTGTAGTTTTAATTTTGAAAAGAAAAATACTACATAACCCAAAGAAGGAAAAATACCACGTCTATTTTCTCTATGTATATGGCCAAGAAGGTATTTTCTGTTTCCTTTTTAGAAGGAAATCCATTTACTGGATGGATCGCTCTCTTTCTTAGCGGTAGTTATGTGATCCATATTTGTTAACTGTGACCTCGAGGGTACCAAGTAACTGGGAATAAAAACTTATCAGAGGGCCGGCCGAGTGGCTCAGTTGGTTAAGAGCTCGCTCAAGAGTTTGAGCTCTGAGCAACAGCGGTTCGAGTCCAGCCCGAGCTGAGCAGCCGCTGAGCTGCCCACAGGTAGCAGGATGGCTCAGCTAAAAAAAAAAAACAAAAAAACAAAAAACAAAAAACAAAAACTTATCAGAAAGATTTCAGAACCCTTCTTGATTTATTTTAATTTCTAGGGTTCTGCATTTGCAAACAAAGCTTAGTGATTGTAAGTATAAAGGCTGAAAATATGTCTTGCATAGAAAGACACATCCAGCCTAGAAAACTCAAATACTTAAAACAAACTGAAAGAAAATATGTTTTCAAATCATTACCACAGGATAAAAGCCCTTCGTTATAGCCCACAGTGTAGGAGAAATCAACAAACTCTCTTGGGGAAATGATATTCCAGAGCTGACCAGCAGTAGTGTAACGCATCACACAGCAATTCTAAAGGAAAAAGAGCAACAGGTGTTATTACCATAGGGATACATACAAAGACTCATATATCATTAGTTAATCTTTAGTAAAACACTAATACTCATTTAAAATGTATCAATAACAATTTCTACAGTGATTCTGACAGGATGAGATCTCTGTTCTAAATCTCACTGCTACTGTATGCACATGAAGAAGATATACCATATTTCCCCATGTAGAAGACGCTCCCATGTATAAGATGCACCTTAATTTTGGGGCCCGAAATTTGAAAAAAAAATGTACTAAATAAAGTTATTGAACTCAAGTTTTACTCATCATAAAATTCATACAACTCCTCATCACTGTCAGAACTCCCAACCATTAGCTTGTCCTCATCTGTATCTGATGATGAATCACTGTCTTCATATATTACCTCGTCCTCAGTTCCATCTATGGCATTTGAGATCTACAACCACTGTATAAGACGCACCCAGTTTTTAGACCCCAAATTTTTTGAAAAAAGCTGCATCTTATACATGGGGAAATATAGTATAATCAAAATATAGGGAGATAAGTTACCCAGTATCCAAATCTATAATTCAATACAGTCGCTTTGTATCCAGTATGATATTCAACATAGAAGTAGGTGGCATAGACTGCAGATATTTTAAGATAAAACCTACAAATACTTTGACTAAGCCACCAAATGGTTCAAGAAATTCTAGCATGGCAAGGACGGAATTAATAAAAATGGAAAAAGAGAATGAGCCACTTTGGTGACATAATTCTCTAATGCCCAAGGTGGCAGTTTTATCTTCGGTCTTTGATTTTCGCTAAATATTAATGAAAAATTACCCAGAAACCTGAAATATGATGGTATTTTCAGAATTTTAAATTTCAGAACGTCAAGTAGTTTTATGATTAAAGATGCTGATGATTTTCTTAAGTAGCAAGGATACAGCTACTGTAGAAAACAAACTTAGTTCTGACTCATTAGTGATATGAGGACACTCAAGCTTTTTGAAAGGTAGCAAAGGTTCCCCTGTGAGGTCTTTACCATGACTACTTATTCTCAAAGCAATGAATACAAGTGTACACACACACACACACACACACACACACACACACACACACACACAATCTGAAAAAACGTTTCTAAACAAATACCTCTTCAAAGTGCTCCAAAATATCCATTGAAGTCATTAGGCTGTCCCAATCCAAGCGACAGGGACCTGGGCGAATGTGGTCTATCACAGCATTGACAAAGTCGTCGATAACACCTTGGGCTTTGAAACTGGAGGAAAAAAATATTCAAGTCAACTACTATCAGAATGAAAAATTTCACAGATAACTTCAAAAAGAGTAAGAATTAATGAAGATTTTTTAGAGGAAGTAAATCGCAACAACTTTGCTGATAAATTAAGTTCTATCGGTTATTTTATTAGAATGTACTTTGTCCTCAAATCCTGTAAGAGACCTGAAGGCTGTATTATCCACTATCACGAACACAGTGAAGTACCTTCACATTATGATGCAGCCACCAATGGTCTGCAGGACACTGTAACGCTTCCATTTATTTTGTATGTTATTCTCTTCTCAGTATGCTCTAACAGGTTATTAGTGCACACATATTTCTTCTACCTTGACTTTTAAAAACTTTTTATTAGGAACAGAAAAATAGGTCATCTAGGAAAGAACACCCAGAATTAATTCATAAATAATATTGAAATTTGACATATTTGAAAGGTGGTATCACATGGAAAAGGATGTACTATTCCATAAATGGTGCTTGGATTCAATAGTTATCCTAGAGGAGAAGATAAAAACTGAATCCCTACTTCACGCCACTCAAAACAATTCATTCCAGATAGACTAAAGACCACTATGGAAAATACAAAAATGTAAAACTTTGAGAGAAATATACAAGTGACCATTTTTGTGACATCAGCATTCAGGATTTTTTGACTACATAAAATACACAGAAACACAAATAATCCAAGATGGTTAAAATTTAAAACTTGCATGCCACGAATGATAAAATAAGTAATTTCTTTAAAAACTAGTCATAGACTGGAAGGAGACATGTGCAACACATATAAACAGACATATAATTATCATGCAGGGTATACAATTAATTCTTATAAGTCAGTGAAAAAAAAGATAATCTAAGGAAAAGATGGGCAAAGGACATTTTTTGCCCATTTACTGATAAATAAATTTAGAAAAGATGCTCAACAAATTTAGAAAAGAAAAGATGCTCAATTTCACTCATAATCAACTAATTACTAATAAAATACCATTTCATATCCCTCAGATTGGCAGAAATTATAAACTTAAATACAAGTATTGAATTTGTAAATACAAGTATCTTAAAATGCTACCACGTTAGAGCCATTTGGCAACGTCTAGTAAAGCTGGATGATGTGTACCCCTAAGACCCAGGTACATACCCAAAGAAAATCACACATGCATTAGGAGACATATACCAAGAAGTTTATACTACAGCACTGTGTTTTATGGGGAAGAACTGACAACGACCTAAATATTTATCAGTAGGCAAATTTGCTAACAGATAAACACATTGGGTTATATTCAAATGAAAGTGAAAGAAAAGATCTATATGGCTAAATCCTGAAAACATAATACTGACTGCAAAAAATTAAAAGCAATTTACCAAAGGAAACACACACACACACACACACACACACACACACACACACGTGCGCGGTTAAAGTATAAAACAACAATAATACACACAACTTCAAGATAGAAGTTACCTCTGGGGAGGAAAGAAGAGAAGAAATGAGAGACAGACTGGCTTTAACTTTATCAGCAGCATTTGGGGGAGTCTTTTTTGTTTGTTTTTTAAAGCAACTAAAGCTTTTTTTTTTTTACCACTTTATAAATATCTCAAGTTCAAACTTACATTATCTCCCCAATCCTAAATCTGCTCTTCCCTCCTGTATTCTCTAACTTGGGATGGAGGTAATACATATTACTCAGTTACCCAAATTAGAAATCTGGTATTCGACTCTTTTTTTTCTCTTAACCCCATTCCAACAGTCAGATTTAAGAAGTCACCATGTCTTATCACAATGATTTCCTAAATGTAAAGTGCTCAGGACAATACCTGGTTCTCAATATGTTAGTTATCATCATCATTACCATCACCACCGCTGCCACTATCATTAAATCTCTTTCATGTGCATTTGCCCTTTTCAACTCCCAAGCTTTGCCCTCCCAAGCTGTGTCCAATGCAACACTGCATAATCTCTAGCTCTTTTGATCGCATATCTCTTTAAGTATCTGGAAAAAAAGCCACATGTGCCTTCCGAGGAATATACACATTGACACAAAATTTTGTATACAATCTTAGTGGAACTTCAGGAAGCTAGCCATAGACTCCCAGGGTAAAAACCGCTCTCTGAACTCCCCATGCTCATCGCACAGTGCTATTTCACAACGTTATTAGAGTAAATTCAAAATCCTTTGAGGACATGGGAGGTGGCGGTGAAGGCTGAGCAGACCGTAAGTATGATACTGAATTCCTTATTTTAGCATTCAAAACTCTTTCAGGCACATGCTCTCCCGTCCCCATACTTTGTGTTCCAGCTATACAAATATGACTTCCACTTCCCTAAACAAACTCATCTGTGTTGATGCAGTAGATGATCAGTCCCCATTCCCTAAGAAATACCGCTTCTTCCTTTAAACTCAGCTCAAGTATCAGCTCCTGTCTGAAGGCCTTCCACATCACCACCTGTAATGCTCCCTTAGCACTTTTTACACTTTTCAACCCCCACTGGGCATTATTGACCTAAAGGATTAAACTTCTACACTTGCTTACAATGCTTAATCCAATTCCTGTTTCCCTGCTCTCATCATAAATGTTGTATAACTCATCTTTCTGGAAACACTATCACTGGTATTGCACTTCAGAACATTCTGTATTAGGAAGTGGGGGCCTGACCCCAGTTAATTTGAAAAAGGTCTGAGTCCCAAGGACGCGAACATCCCACTGCAAAGGCAACTGTCCCCAATGGCTTTGAAAAGCAGTATTTTTTCCTGGTTAAAGACGTAACTCATGTTCAACTATATGCAAACACCAAAAAATGGAAATAAAAAATCACCCATAAAATTGCCATCTAGAGGTATATATTTGGTGTTAAATAAAAATATTTCAATATTATAAAGACAACTCACAATTGGTACAACTGCTACACGCAGTTGAATATTCTGCTTTATTCACTTTAGATTATATCTGGAGCATTTTCTTATGTTCTGAAATTCTTGAAAACATGTTTTATAAAAACTGGAAAATATCACATATATGTTCCATACTTTAATCACCCTCCAACTATTGATTATTCAAGTTGTTTATGATTTTTAATATTATAAACACTGCTGTGATGGAAGAGACAAGTACTTAACTATAATATTATCTTTCTGATGATTTCCTCAAGGTAAATTCTTAGCATAAAGTATGTTATAGCACTGAGTAAGTGTAGAAGAATATTAGAAGAATCTTACACACCAACCTGAGAAATTAAGATTTTATCAGCCATTTGATATCATTATTCATAATCAGCTCCATCAACTCAGTACACTAGGGATATGGACATTTTAAAGGCTTTAAATTTGTAAGGTGATTTGCTTCTCTGAAAGTTTAAATCTTAAAAGCAAAAGCCAAATTTTACTGGCAATTATCACTTAATGATCATAATTGTGTGTGTGTGTGTGTGTGTGTGTGTGTGTGTGTGTGTGTGAAACATTTAGCAATGACTCAAGAGCTACATAAAACTACTAGAATTTACTTACAGATGTCCATTAAATTCTTCTGAAGGTTTTCTCCAAATTGTTACATCTTTCTAGAAAAATAAAAACATTTTATGGTGATAATTACATAGTGAAACCCTGAATATAAAACTGACAATTTCATAAGTCTAGAGTATTAGTCTTTGCATTAAAATAAAGCTTAAGTAAATATTCAGATATGCATTAAAGTCATTTATATCATCAAATGATTCCTATTTGAATTTCTTCTGTATCTTACAGTTCTTCACATTTATTTAAATCATAGACCTCCAAAAGAGATTTTTCAGTAGCTTAATGAGTCCCAAACACTATGAATTTCAATCATGGTACTATCTCATTGGCCATTATTATTTGCTTTATTTCAATCTTATCTCCTGACAAATTTAGACTAAAACATTAGGAACGCTAAATATTTCATCCTGAACTTGCTCATATCTTTTAAAATATTAAACAATTCACATCTATTACGATAATGTTACCTTGAATTAGTCCCTAATTTTTTTCTGATCTTTTCCCAAGAAATTCTGAATATCAGAATAGCTAAAGCACTTAACTGGGAGTGTCCTGGGTTCTAGGGTTGGCTCTGTCAACACTCAGCCATAGTTTGGGCAACTCACATTGGTAAAAAAGAATACTAACAGCCAACCCTCATGGGCTTGTTAAAATGTCTGAAATTATTCCAAACTATCAATTACTATACTTTCTTAAATTGACAATGATACATTTTATTTCTTGATTTAAGAGATTATGCATTAGGCTGTTGTCGCCATGAGTCTATTCTCATGTTCAATATTTAAAGAACTAATGAAAGCAGTGCAGGATTACTATGTTCTTTTTGTTTATGATATGCTAACCCAATGACTTTATTTGCAAAATTATCTATTCTGCACATCCATCTGAAGTATGGTTCATATATGTGTATTTTTTAAATTAATTCTTTCTTTTCAGTTACAGTTGACATTCAATATTATTTTATATTAGTTTCAGGTATACAGCATAGTGGTTAGACATTTATAAAATTTATGCAGACATTTGTCCTGATTAGTCCAGTACCCACCTGGTACTACACATAGTTGTTGCAACATTATTGACTACATTCTCTATGCTGTACTTTGCATCCCCATGACTATTTCATAACTACCAATTTGTATTATTAATCCCTTCACCTTTTTCACCCAGCTCCCCAATCCCCCGCCCCTCTGGCAGACACCAGTTTGCTCTCTGTAACCATGAGTCCGTTTCTGTTTTGTTTGTTCACCTAGTTTGTTCTTTAGATTCCACATAGAAATGAGATCATATATTTGTCTTTCTCGGTCTGACTTACTTCACTTAGCATAATACCCTCTAAGTCTATCCATGTTGTTGCAAATGGTTAAGATTTCATTCTTTTTTACAGCTGAGTCATATTCCATCGCATGTGTGTACTACTTCTTTATCCAACTGTCTATTGATGGGCACTTGGGTTGTTTCCATATCTTGGCTACTGTAAATAATGCTACAGTGAATATAGGGGTGCATGTAGTATCTTTTAGATTTAGTGTTTTGGATTTCTTCAGATAAATACCCAGAAGTGGAACTGCTGGGTCATAAGGTCATTCTATTTTTAATTTTTTGAGGAACCTCCAAATCGTTTTTCCATTGTGGTTGCACCAATCTGCAGTCCCACCAACAGTGCACCAGGGTTCCCTTTTCTCCACATCCTCCCCAGCATTTCTTGTTTGTTGATTTATTGACGACAGCCATTCTGACAGGAGTGAGGTGACATCTCATAGTGGTTTTAATTTGCATTTCCCTGATGATCAGTGACACTGAGCATCTTTCCATATGTCTATTGGGCATGGCCCGTATCTTTCCATACCATTTTGAAAGTCATCAACCGATTCATTAGATAGAAGATATACCCCAAATATAAGTAATTAAACTAATTTACCATTTTCTTTGCAACTCGCCACTTATCATCTTCAATGCTATGGTACTGGATGAGCGTGTTTTGAAGTTTAGCTGCAAAAGCAGAAGTATCAGGCAGGGCTTCCATCTTTTTCTCCCTGTTACAGAGACCAAGATTAGCATCAGCAAACACCACAGTTTGATGCAGCAGGCCAGTGGGTTTCAAATGTGGCTTCATAACAGAATCACCTAGGGCACTATAAAACATGCCTGTACGTGGACCCCACCCCAAATCAACTAATCAGAACCTCTGAGAGTAGGAATTGGGTGAGTAATACATAGTTAGGGATGAGAATCACACATTTTGAGTTGTTAAAATCACCCATATAAAAATAAATGCAATTCTATTTTCCCTTTCTAATAGAATCTAATAAAAAAGAATGAATTATAAAATTCCAGGTCAAACAAAGAAAAAAGTGGCTGTTTCCAAAATACAAAAATAATACACAAGGCACAAACTCTTTTAAAAGTCCTTCGATCTCAGCCTTTGAAAATTTTTATTTTACCATCTAGCGGAATTAGGACTCATTCTAGTAAACAAATGACAACCACAACTAGGAACCTCATCTTACATCCTTAGGATAGAGCTACAAAACTCAGAACAATTTCAAAATTTTGAGGAACTCTTACTGTTTTCAATATTATATTTCACTTGATGAAGTGTTCGGACTCAGTCAGGTAACTGTGTAAGGAGGAAGGTCATATGACAACTTTTAGAACCAACCAGTCAGCATAAATAAATGGTTCATAATATCAAGGCAATAATTTTAACTATATAAAGTAGAAAACTACTATATCATTAATAATTCCAAAGATAAAGTACTGTTCCACAATTTTACAGGGAAATGATTACTAACTTTGAAAAACAATAAACTTAAATGAGGGATTTGGTAATGTGATGGATTTAAAACACTGCTGCAAATTCTTTGACACACTTTCCATCAAGAGGTAGACTTCCCAGGCTAGGTTTGAAAAGTTCATGTACCTTCTGCAGGTTTCTTTTAGAGTAATTGTTCTGGGAGCCTTTGATCAACATACAGGCATGCAAAAGCTCTGGCTAGCCTGAGGCTGACATGTGGAAAGACCCGGGGGAAGAGGAAGAGAGAGAGGGAGAGACACCACACAAAAGTCCCAGATCCAGAAACGTATCTAGAGCTTCATGCCTAATGGGCATCTCTTGCTCCCCTCAATTTGCCTGTCTTCCCATCTTAACAATTTACTATTAAGATAGTAATTGAGCCAGTTGCTCAAAGTCAGAAGCCTTGAAATCACCCTTAATAGGAATTTGGAGATTCCTACTCATACCACCAGATCCTATTTGCCCACAATGTTCTTGTCCTACTGTTTTTTTCTGTTCCTCAAATAGGCCAAGCTTCTCAGTGCCTTTGGGCCTTTGTATTTGGCATTTCTCTGCCCGGATTACTAGACCCCAAATCTGAGCGTGACCAATAAAAACCAGTAATGACAATTTCAGTTTAAACCTTCTATCCTTAATACAGCCTTCTGTAAGTCACTAGTATATCCTCTTTGATTTTCTTCACAGTGCTTATCACCATCTGAAATTAACTTGTCCATTTATTGGTGTACTGTATTGTACTCTTTGACCATCACATCACCAGCTAATAGAGCAGGGGCCCCTGTCTACCTTATTCACCACTACACCCCCACCAACTAGACCATTGCCTGGAACACAGTAGGCCCATAATTGTTGTGGAAGTGTGCTTGCTTCAAAACAAGAATTACTTGGTCTTAACTCTGTCTGCTTTTGGTGCCATGTACTCTCCAGTAAAAGCCTAAAGGAGAAAAGGCTTTGGGGGAAAAGCTGCCCATTTACTGACCCAAGTTACGACTGAAAGTTGATCAAGAAAAGATCTAAATGAAATAATAAGCCTCAAGCCTCTGTGGGAATAAGGCTGCAATTCTCAACCACTCGTACAGATGCATATATCAGAATCCCCCTTGTTCTATCTTGTAGCCATTGTTGCTGTTGACAAAGACTCTCTCCTTAGGCTCCTGTGAGTCCGCTTTTTGGCTAAGTCTAGCTCGGGGGCTTGTTCTTTGTTTGCCCCCTTTGTCCAGTTTTAGCAAGAATCCTCCTGAATCCCTTTAGTGAAAATTCCCCCACCCTCAGAAGTTTCTCATCTTACCCTCAATCTTATCACCCTGGCCTGCCTTCAGCAAGAATCCTTTCAAGTTGGTTTAGCCAGAATCCCCGACCCCTAATTTTCCCCTTAGCAATTTTTCCATCCACTGACACCTACCCTGCTACTTGGCTATAATCTCCACTTTCCTTGTAGTATTCAGAAGGGAGCCGAGTTCTATACTGAGGTTTCTTTTCCCCGTCGAAATACTTGGTTAAGAACTGGTTTGGGATGCCAGAGGGCCCCGGTTCGGATCCTATATATGAGGGCCAGTGACACTGCCCTCTACAGCTAAGATGCTGAACAACAGCTCAACCTGGAGCTGGGCTAACATGGGTCGCCGGCGACGGTGTAG